TATATATAATTAACCAGTACATTGCCATATTTAGTTAAACAAATAATTCTCTCTTAGAGTTACTACCTGTCTTTTATATTCTCAGCCATCAGTGCATTTTAAGGGAACCACAGATTTATTTTCTGGGTAGAGCAGGAGGCACAAGGGGTCCTGTTACTGAGCAGGTGTGGTGACAAATTAGTCAGGAAGCTATTGCTCAATTTAACTCCAGCAGCACCTCTCTCTGAACTGTCAGCTACTATCTGTTTCTGCCCTTTCCAGGTCCGTTCATGTTCATCTGAAAAGCAACATCATCTTTTTTTCTGCTTTTCCTGAGATGTGTGGGTGGTTTGGGAGCATCATTGTGAAAAATGGATGAAACACCAGACCAGTTGTATGATCAAAGGTAAAAGAGCTTCAGAGATAACATTTCCTGCGTGCACGCATGCTTTTTGGGAAATAAGGCCCTGGCTGAATATCCTATTGCTTACTAGCAAATGTTTTGTCTCTGTGTCAATGCCAGAATTTTAATTGCATTTCTCCCTGACATTAGATATGTAGTCTAAGAAACTGATGTTGCACTGCAGCTGGAAGCTGACTTGAGACTGAAGTGACACATCCTTCGCTGTGGAATATTTGTCTCCAGCTGTTCCTTCGTGGGGTGGGTTATGGAGACTGCACCTGTGCATGCCGGGGTAGCAGCAGCCAGGGAGGATTCCCTGCCATAACATTTGTCTGTGAAACACATACTTTCTCCTTGAGGAAATGGGCTTATGTCAACAAAAATGGAAACTTCAAATATATATATATGTAGTGCTGGGAAAAGCTAAGCATCTTTGCTCTTAAATGTGTGGGGTGATTAATTTCATGTGCCATATCCCTCACACACACATTCTTCTTCTTTGCCAAAAGCTGAATGTAATTGGAAGCCTATGAATGTCCATAGTTGCCAGACAGCTTAAAATTGAGATACTGTGAAATGCAAACAAATGGAAATGTTTCTCTCTTGTGTAAATATGCAAGAATAATTAAGCATTAAATGCCAGCTGCAAGGAGAATCGTTTAAGATGGTCAAAGATGAACCTGAGGTGCTTCTTGTGTACACACCTGGAGCAGGAGTCCAGTTAGAGTGGCCTGGACAAGTGGGTTCTGCTCCTTTGCACTGACTTTGCACGCCCTTGGTTGGTTAGTATTGCAGCAACTTCCTAAAATAGCTGTAAGAAGATATAATCCTTCACACAGATGCCCTCACATAGGAGTAACAGTAATTTGTATTCATATAACTTATTTTCCAGATGTAAGTAAATCATACTGATCCGAAATAACATTTCTGATGATGTAGTTGTGTTCACGCTAGAGAAGGTAACGGTTTAGCTAGGCAGAGCACAAGCAGCTTGTAGATAGCAAGAAGCTCCAAGATGAGAGGGGACATGGCGAGTCTTGCTGGTATTCTTACTGTCAGGGCAGCAGTGGCTTGCTTCATGAAGGAAAATTACTTGTATGCACCCAGGTTGTTCTTTCACTCCCTTGCATTTTCTTTTTACATTCAGACACTACTTCGCTACACTGGGGAGAAGTGCAAATGAGCTTGAGAGGCTCAGGCCATGTGGGGTCTGTTGTCGTCTTTGCTGAAAGTCTGCCAGGTAAGTAATTTTTCTTCTGTGCCTCCATTTACCATCCCTCCTTTTTTATTCTTAGTTATTTGGCTTACAAGGTCTTCAGAACATGCACAGTTCATAACTATGTGTCAGTAAAGTGCCTAGGACATTAAAATGCTGATTTTTGTCAAGGTGAGAGGGTAACACAGCTACAGAATAAATTAGGAAAAGAGATCGCTAAACTAAACTTAGCTGCAGCCTGAAAATAAAGAAAATTGTGCTTTTTACAAGAAAATGTGCATTTTACAAGAACTGTGCCTTACAGACTGAAAATATAAACCTCCTTTACAAAAGGCAGTTGTACCATTACCATTTTTGTGCACACATCTGGTCAATGTTGATGTGTATCTTTTCTTTTGTTACAGATGAAAATGTTTTTGACTGATCTCTTCTGACCCACCATTGCCCCTCTTTGTTTAGCATTCAATTCTGTCAGCCCCTTCAAAATGTAGTGTTCCCCTATACTGCCATTAAGTTGAATAATACATGCATACGATTTAATCCAAGCTGTCTCCAGCAGTTAGTCGCCTTCTGGAGAGTATCCAGATGTTGCTTGAAAAGAGATGACTGGGAAAGAAATAAACAATTTCACTTGATGAATTGGCCAGCGTATCCTTTGTCTCAGCCATCTTCTACTTCGAAAGTCTTGTTCAAATAAAATAATTGTGCTTGAGACATAAGTAGGGTGGGGGGTTTTTCGTCCATGAAGCTCAAAGCTTTGTATAAAACTGGTAAAACAAAATTATCCCAGGCAAGCAGAAGTGGAAACTGAGGTGCAGCCCTCGGGTTAAACTCAGTGGAAAGGCAAAGAGAGAAACCCAGGTAGTCTGGAGTATTTGGCTTCCTTCAAATATTAGCAAGATACTTTTCTGCATTAGCCACTCTGCAAAACGGAAGATGTTTCCGCTCAGAGTGCAAAACCAGTCCTAAAATGTAATGCTCTCTGTATGACTCTGGGCTACCAGGTTGGCAACGACACTTTCCCGCTGTAAGAGCAGTAAATGTGAGAAAAATAAATGGCTAGTTCATTTTTGCAAGGAAGGTGCTGCAGTATCACCACGAACTCAAGGAGCTTGCTATTCTGAAGTGTTTTTGCAAGATTACTTTTTAGGTTCACTCTTCAGTTACATAACAACATATGCTTTCCCTATTTACAATGTTAAAATAGACCGAGATTAAAAAAAAAATACTCCCACTGCAAATGATATGGCACTGACGTCTACTACTGATACACCGATGTCTTTTTCCACCAAAGCCAGCTAGATGCTGCCTCAATGTGCCATGAAACGTCTGTAATCTCAGAGCCATAAAGCATAGCAACATGCAAGGAAATGAACCCAAAGAAAAAGTGTCTGCTCGGCAATCAGTACTTGGAGATTGTCCCTTGAAGTGTCAGTAGCTCCCTGGATCTTCCTAGTGTTCCCATCGGATATCTTGGGTTGGAAGAAAGCAATGCCTCAGCTAAGCCTGAAGGCACCTGTCGGAAGGTGTCCCAAAATGCAGGGATTGTCAACAGCAGGGATCAGTCCACACTGGTGGCAGATGCTTTATGTTCAATAGTGACTGGAAGGAAAATTTCCCACCCAGGAACTGTCAAACACAAGATGTCTGCAGTGTATTAAGAGCTATAGAAATAAAATACTAGGTTGTGATAGAGGTTTGCTTTATGTGAAGTTTCTCTCTCGTCAAAATAATTTTGAAGAAGAATTGTTTTTCCTTTTTTAACACCTGTTTTTGACATTTCTGAAATGGAAAAGCTTTTTTGTTGTTGTCAGAATGACTCTGTTATGAAATGTAGATGTAGGTAGGGTAAGAAAGAAGTTATAACGAATACATTTGAGGGATTCCTGCAAAGAGTTCTTGCACATGAAATAAAAATGTATGTTCTAGCACCTCTCAACCTTCCCATGTCGTAAACAAATGTGGAAATGGAAAGGGCAAATTCTCAGCTGTGCACCGGGATTAAAACAAGCAGCAAAGCCCATCTCCTCTCAGCTCCACCCTGTGCCCTCCCCTTCCCGAGCACCTCCATTACCATGAAGATTTTAAACTTCGACCAGTCACCCATACCAAATCCCGGACTTGAAACCAGCGTGATGCTGAGGACACAAGGAATCTTTCTTTTTGTTGGGCAATGGTTTTGAGAGAGAATGGTGCCCGTTTGCATCTGTGCGGAGATTCGGACAGCCGCGTGAAGGCCCTAGTGGAGATGAATTGGTGGGCAGAGAGCAGGTGATAAGGTTAAAAGTGCACGATGGCTGCAGTTTATCACTCAGATAACAGTAATGCGGACATGCCTATGTGTGTTTGGATTCCAGGCACATGTATCTGAATACGCCTGTCTAAATCAAGTGGCTGCTCAAAACCTTTAGCAAGGTTCCTCAGCCAGAAACCCAAAGCCTCCCACATTTACCTTCAACACGCACAGGGGACTGCTGCAGTGGGTTGCAAAGCGTTGTACTTAAGAAACGAAGTCTGGAGAGAAATGAGTCTTCTGTGCGATTATTTCATACTTTTTGGCTTCTCTGATTCAGTCTAGCGCTAAACCTCTCCCTTCTCTCCCCCTTCCCATTAGCCCCACGAGGCCTCCCTGACCTTACAATCCACCCACGGTTTCCATGTTACTGTCAGCCTCCTTACACTTGACTGATGAGAAATATGTGATTATTCAACACATCATAAAAACAGCCAGAGCAAATGAAGGAGAAATCTGGAAAGTATTTATAGAAAATCTGTAAACAATCATTGCAATTCAGCTATTCAAAGCTGTGCACACATTAGCTTGTTAGCTGTAGAGCTGTCAGATGTTCTTTGGTTCTTTCACCTTTTTTAAAAATTAAGAACTGCTTTGTTATCTCCCAGCCATTTTGTATTTCATAGACTTCTGTTTGCAGAAACAATTTATTTTTTGAGCTACAATAACTGAGATTTTTTTTTTTTCCCTTATGACTACACATCATTTCATTGACTTCAGAGGTTTGACCAATTCACTGACATTCCTTGTGTGCTAGAAGGCATCTTGAGGCAACTTCAAGCACATGCATCTGTTTGCTGCGTACAGCTTAACATCAGATTCAGATAAGTAGGAAGGAGGAGGTGAGAAAGAAGAAGCCGTGAAACTCTTGTGGAGCAACACAATGCAGCGGTGGGACACACGTTGCAAAGACTCTCTTCTCTGCAAGAGGCAGGGGTGTTTCTTACTCACCACAGCGTGATTTAACCAGAGCGGGATGACTCCATCAAGGCTTTTGGGGTAAAGCAGCTCTCGATCGTAGGCATACAGTGTCCAAAAGGATAGAGACACAAACTGGAACCAAAATACAAAATGAAAGACAAACATAATTGACAGGATTTGGCTAGTGCTTTCATTTCTGAGAAGGCAAAACATCTCCTACATGAAAAATGGTGATATTGCCAGATAAACTCATATATCACACGTTACAACATAAAGAAAGGAATTTACTCTGAGGTGCAGTGCTCTGTGTTGATACTGTGAGAGAAACCTCCTTTATAAACTGCCAACACTGACATTTTCTGTGGAATACTAGCATAGCTTTAATTTTTTTTTTCTTTCTTTCTTTCTTTGCAGATGGGATCTTTTGATGGTCCAGAAGTTCTCCTCGAGGGATCAGCTGTCAAGCCACAGCATTTGTTCTGCTCAGTAACAAAGTAAAAACAGATCTTGGTAAGACAGTTCACATAAAACTTACCCTTATCTTCACAATTCATAAGCCTAATTCCTAAACTGCAGGTGCAAGCTGCACTGTGGGCATCCATTTTTTTCCCAACACAGGAGGATTTACAGTGGGAGAAACTTAACTGGAGGAAATGAACCCTGGTATTGGTTACTGATACCTGGAAGCTGATTTGCACTTTTTTTTTTTTGGCCTGGCTTTGTATTTGAGCACACTTTGTGCTTGGGGTTGGAAATCAGGGGTGTGAGATGCTGGAATAACACGACTACCCTGTGCCTCTGTCCTGCAGGCACAGCGAGGATGCCTAGGGGGGATATGACAGCAGCATTGTGAATACTGCTGTGCACGGAAGATAAATTAACCAGTCTCTCTGTCTCCATCCCTGGCAGGACTTCTTTAGTGAGCCAGCTGGCTGAGCTGCTTGTGGACCAGATTTAAGCAGCGCTTCTCAGCCCTTTGAGATTCAGAGGTGGCTGCAGGCTTCACTCACATAGAGCGGTACCCACATGTATAACTAACCCTTCGGTTCCCATCCAACCCACAGCACCAGATAAACAGCATTTCAATACACAGCATTGTCTGTGAGAGAGTAGGTGATCCGTGGTGAATCTGACGTAGGCTGTGACCATAATTATTGTCCTGTGGATCTGTTTCTCTCCAGCGTTTATTTAAAGCCACACTGGAGTCAGAGAAGATGTGAGATTTTGCTGCTTCTTAGGTACCCTCTCATGTCCTCCCGGCCTGTGCTGCCCTTTAGAGAAATGCCCTAAGTCGATAAATCCACAGCTATTTGGACTGTGAGCTTAACAGAGAGGTTACACCTCATTCACTCTTTGGGGTCAATCTGTGTTTGCTCGGGGACAGCAACCCTAAAGTTTGTGCTTTGCATTCAACCACGACAGGCTCAGCTCTGTTTCTTCTTCTAAATGCTCCAAATCCATTTTTGAATGGTAAAAGAAAGCCTACAGTTCTTATCTGTTTTATATATGTGCATGTTATGCTATACACGCCTAATCATTTATGCAAACATTATTTTTACATACAGAGGTTACTTACTGTGGACATTGGGAAAGCCAGGACACTGAAAAGAAGGTCTCTGCTGGAAATTACTCTCTTAGCACATCGCAGTTTCTTAATTAGTCTCAACACATCAGCCAGGAAGGACACCCCATAGAAGACAGCCTGCAAAACCTAAAGTAATTACATCTAATGAGGGAAACTCATCCAGCTTTCATTAGCACGTTCCTCAATGAACTCTGTTCTTGCTCTTCAGGGAGCTGTTTTGTTCGTGAGCTGCAAGCCCGCGTGAGGGAAATAGCTGTTGGCTAAATCTTTTTTACTAACCAAAACTGATTAAATAAAGTTGTTCAGGGAGATAACTTTAACAGTATCTCGTTTAATAGACTAAACAAAGATGTGTGATGTGATTCAGATGGGAGAGGTGGAAGGACATGTTGAAAGCCAGCTCCTTCACACTTCCTATGTTAATTGTTACGTTCAATGTATGTGAGCAGGAGCAAGAGAGAGCAAAACATGCCAGGAAATGTTTCCTGTAAACTAATTTCTAGATAGCTTCTCCACCATTTAGCTGACACAGGGCGTTCTTTCCTGGGACTCACGGTGCAGCTGATCTCAGTGCCAAGTAGCTCAAAATGCTCTAACATGAGAATTAGGTGCAGAAGTTACCAAAAACAGAGTATCTTTTGCTGAACTCAGAAGGATTCGGGAAAGGATTTCACGTGCTTAGAAGCAGAGCTCCAGACTTCACTAACTAAAACTGAATAAGTTAAACTATCTGTAACGAATGCATTTTGGAGTTGGGGGTGGGTGGGTTGTGTTTTGGTTTGGTTTCTTTTTTCTTTCTCTAAATCATTTACAAGTAATGAGGGTGGGGTGGGGTTGTTTGGGGAGGATTTGGTAAAAAATTAGGTAAGTGCGCAGTGACAAAACAGAATTCCGCAAATTGTGTATGAAATTGTCACAATATTGTAGTTTAAGCCAATGTTGCTTTTCTGATTAATTCGTTTTCTCTCCTAGCGCTACACAGTGGATCAAGCTGAACCAGATTTGTCAGACACACAAAGGCAGAGCCTTGCAGAAAAATACTTCTCCCGTTACCTTGCATTTAGCACTGAGTCTAGTTCAGTTCTGTCAACTCATGGGGTGGCCTCTTCTTTTTAAGGCTAGGTTGTCCCAGAGTGATGCAACATGGGAAATGCAGCCTGCTGCAAATGCTGGACCAGCTAGTGATGCTTAAATGGAAAGAGGCTGTGTTACATCCTTCAGGATGAGATCTCTTTTACCATGATCTTACTCTGAATCAGATATTTATTTAGAGCAAAGTGTCTGAAGTTGTGGCTGGTTACTTCATCAGTTTCTGAAGGAACTGAGACGGGTAGTGCTTGGGTGGAGACAGAATTAGTGCAATGGTTTTCCATCAGAAATGCCTTTATTATCAAAATATCTGAGGGAAGGAGGGCACTATGATTTCACCATGCCTGTTGTCAAACAAACGTTTCTGCACGCTTGAGTTTGCAGAAACTGACTCTTCCTGGGGAGCAAAATGACCATAGTTTGCATGACCAAAGTATCCTTGCAGTTATCCGCAACCATCCCCATCCATTTTGTGGCTTCTCAGCAAAGGGAAAAGATATATCCTTCCTTCCCTACCTTTTCCACAGTCCAGATGGCCGCCACAGTAGACTCCAGCCAGGTGCCACTGGTGGAGTGTCCCCCCTCCCTACGCAGACCCACAGCGGTGGAGGTAGGGAGGTGCTGACGCAGGCCGGGTGACTGGCCCAGGGTCACCCAGGATGAGGTATTGGAGGTCTTGCACTACCCAGTTCAGCTGCAAAGCCCCATGTTTCCTCTCGAGCATGGGGTGAACAGCCACATTTTTACATAAAAAAACCCCAAGCAGCTTCATCAGAACCCACATATGGTTTTGTTCAATTCTGAGGCACCCAAACCAGCTCTTCTAAATGTGGGTTTTTTTCTCTCTCTCTCCCCATTATCACAATTAGCCTCTGTAACTGCAAGCACAATTTCAGTCAGTAGGGATTCAGGCCTCCAAGTCACGGGTCTAGTTCAGAAAAGTCTGTACTGGGGCACAGCATACTTAGACCCAAGCGCATGTTCAACCCAAACGTCTGCCCCAGTCCTTGGCCTCACCAGGACACCAAAACCAAGTCCTTGAAGAGCTAAGAAAAGCCTGGTAATAAACAGAAGCTCTTGTTACACCCTCTAGAGTCAGCAGTAACTTTCTGTAAAAAGCATGAAAAATGAACATGAGGGTGGTGACAGTCTGGTGACACATGGTGACTAATTGCCAATAAAGCAATTAGGGAGAGGCCTGGTTCCCAGAGGATGGGGCTATTATTATCTGGTTCATGGTCAGCCTTACATTAATCATGGGACAGGGATAGGCTGCTTCTTCCCCCCCCCCCTTCAAAATTAACTAAAACAAACATTTCTGAAAAGAAACAGTCCCAAAACAGCCACATTCTCAGCCTGGTAAATATTCTGTCACATGCAGGGGAGGACAATGTTATCTTCCGTATGGAAAATGCTTATCTGAATCTGTAACCTGACCCATTTCTGGGGCTGAACATGGAGAAGAACAACTCCTGAAGAAGTTTGAACTCAGTCTCAGGAGCTTTTTTTGCGCTGCTCATAGCTCTGCCCTTGTCTGTCCCTGTGGGTTCAAAGGGGTTTCAGTCAGTTTGTGATCACCCTGTATTTCCAGGAGCAATGGAAGAATATACAAGTAATTTTCAAGCCAGAAAACTGAACCTAGCCAGAACCATCCCTAGTAACGCTCAGTCTGGCAGGGTGCACTACCGGTAGATTCGAGTCAGAGCTCTGAACCCGTGCTCTTCCAGGCTTATTCCTGTAAGAAAGGTGCATTCAAATCCCACAGCCCTTCACTAATGGGAAAATGTTGACATTAAAAAAAAAAAAAAAAAAATTGACACGAAAACATCAAGTTATTCCAGATGTCCTGTGAATTTCCCAAACAGCAGTGCTGGTGCTCACAAATCCATTGCAGCCGCTGATGGAATATAAATCTGCTGGCTGTAAATAAAGAGGATCCCCTAAAGTATTCCCACACGAACAGAAGGAAGACTGGAAGCATTCAGAAAGCTAACGATTATCCCAAAGAGGAGAATATGGATATGATTATCCCTGTTGGAAAGATGCTGCTTTCTTCTCTAGACCCTGCAGAGCTCCATGGTGCTAGGTGCTGTAGAAATGCTTAATTTGGCCAGATTGATTTTCCAAACTGAGAGTCACAGTGACAAAGACAAACCTTAATTTTTATCTGCTGCAGTGATCAAAGGGGTGTTTCTGTTTAACTAACCTGACATGATTTACTTTTGCGTATGAGATCTAGCCATATGTGTATATTGAAATCTCCAACTAGTACAAATAAATTGGGCTCCGAGCTCTGCCCTTAAGGGGGGGATAAATCCAATATTCTGAGTAGGCTATTAGACATAACAGTCAACATTTAGTGTAGACACACATCCATTCACATGATAGCAACCTGGAAAATATGTATACTAAATACTGGGTCTATTTTGAAATAAATAAAAAAGAGCTTTCAGGAGAATTGAAAAGTATTTCAGTTATGAGAGACAAAAGTGTAAGGAATAAAATGGGGCAGGAATTCAATTAATAGTTTTTAAAGGTGCAGTGTGCTCATTATGCAATGATTTACTAATAGATTTACAGCAGTGAGCAGATTTTTATGAGCTCGGATATTTCAGGCAATGAATGATTCAGCTTGTACTGTTTTGTGTCACAGACAAATGAATACAAAACTGGTTTTATCTGTCATTTCTGCTTGTTCAATAATCGGTCAATGAACTCCTTTGATATAAAAACCACTTATCTTTTTTTTTTCCCCTACAAAAATATTTCCTCTCTGAATCTTGATTAACCAGATAAATGAATCTGAAGTAACGTCAGAGCTGTAGCTCTCTTGGGAGAGCCGCATGACTAGCGAGGAATTGAATGAGGTGCTAAAAGAAGGTCATATCTAGAAGAAATTCTTCCAGCACCCTGCCAGCAGAGCAAGGAGTCAAGCTGCATTTCCATCCCTGGAAAATGTCACGTTTCCCAGTATTTCCATTTCGGATCAGAGTGAGCCGGCCACAGGAGCTTTCCACAGAAGGAAATTTTTAAATGCAATTCCAAAGAGCTAAGAGGAATTTTTGGGGGAAAATTTCCAAGCGATTCAGCCAGCCGGTGCCAGAAGCCGGGCAATCGTAGCCTGGCAGGAGACAGGCAGAAGAGCTGGACAAGCACTCCGCGTGCCTGGCTCTGGGGAAGCCTCCAAGGCACAGCCCAGCCCTGCCCAGCGCGGCGGCTCTACTGAACCAGCACAGCCCAGCGGGAAGCTTTTGCCTGCTCTTCTTCCCCGGGACTGCGCCTCCCGGCACCCCGAGGTGTGTCCTGGGAGTAATTCCAAAGGCGCAGAAATGTAATGCATTGGGTGTGCACCTGATGGACGTCTGTGGTTGACAGCCACCTCTTCTTGTTCCTTGATGTTCCTCAGCAGCAACAGGGAGTGGTTTAATGCCAAACCATGGGACGACTCTTCTAGGTCCTGTAGAGCCCCACAGGGAGCTCCACAGCCCCCTGGGCCATATTGTCTTCTCACACTCTTCCTCTCTTACACAGACGCTCAGGAAACTTTTGCCACCTGGAGATACCAACAAATGCTGTCCAGATCAAGGGGAGAGGTGGGGATGAGGGCATTTCTCTCCCCAGGCCCCTTTCTCTTTTTAGTAATCCTTTCTTGAAAAAAACCCACATCTCTGTAGAAGAAGGACTACTGGTCATGACAGAGTAATTTTGCACACTCTGCCCCATTGCCACATTTTCTGTTTGAGAGACAGGCAACATCTTCAGCCCAAACCATCTCGCCGTTGGCTGACAGCTCCGTTTTAGCATTGGGATCGGATCAATAAGTGGTTAAAAGATGGGAGACAAAGGACTGGAGAAGTGGAGCAAGGGCCCCCGCTCATAGAGATTTAATGAGACCTGAGCTGTTCAGCAGATCTGTAAATGAGCTGGGGAAGGGAGCAAACACTGAGGTGGTAAAGCTTTGTAAATCTTTCTTTTTTTTCCCTGTCAAAGCAAAGCTTGACTGCAAAATTGCCAAAGAATCTCAGGATACTGAGTGCCTGAGAGATCAAATAGCAAGTCAAAATCAGTGTTGGTAAATGCAATGTAATGCATTTCAGAAAAAAAAGCAACTTCAATTATATATTTTTCAACAGTGGGTCAGTGAGTTCTAAATTAACTATCACCATCCAGGAAAGAAATGTTGGACTCACTGTGGATAGCTCTCTCAAATTGCCGGCTCCTTGCTCACCAGTAATCAAAAAAATCAAATAGAGAGTTAAGAATTGTTAAGAAGAAATAAACAGGCAAAGAAACACCTTTAGGCCACTGTATAAATCCATGCTGTGCTCATAGCTCAACCACTGCAGCCTGCCCTCCTTACCCCTTCCTGAAGCTAGAAAAACTACCGCAAAGGGTGACAAGGATGTTTTAATGAACGAAGCAGCCCTTTGTGAAGAGAGATGAAAAAGGCTCGGACTTCCCAGCTTGCAGAAAAGAATAACCAAGGGGAAAATCTGGTAGAGGTCTCTAATGAGTGGCAAAGAAAAGTGAATGGGGACAGACAATTAAATTATAACACAGAAGTAAAGAGGCATCCAATTCAGTTGTCAGGAAGCAGATTTACACCAACAAAATGAACTGCTCTTTCACACAAGGCACACTTGCCTTGTGGCACTTACTGCCACAGGATAGGGAAGGTATCAGAAGTATAAACAGGTATATTTTTCCTTTAGATAGCTGAAGGGAAGGCTTTGAATGGGTATTAGCTACCTTGGCCTGGATTTATGTTCTGGCTGGGTAAGTCGGTATGCCAGTGTGAGGGTAGCCATGGAAAGTTCATTTTACGCTTATACATGCTCTGGTCTTGTGCAGCCTTTCCCTGATCATCCACTGCTGGTCACCAAGGGAAACTGGATGATAATTCCAATGAGTATTTCTGCATCCCAAAATACTGGGAGATGGGTTACTTGCTTTCTCCTCTTGATCCCATGCTTTAGAGCTGTGTCATATACTGGGTGATAGATCTCATTATAATGGTGCCAGGAGATGGGGGTGGATATGCTGTTTTGCCTGAAAGTATGGCTGATACTTTAATGGGCCAGCTTTCCCCCAAAAAACAAGGAGAGCAGCTGGGCGGGCACACACACGTGTGCCCTTGCCTGGGACTTGGCTGGTGGTGTTTTAGTCTACTGACATATGTTCCAGCAGGATGAGCTGAGTATCTTTGAGGTTGTTGAATCCTGACCATTTGATCACTGGCATTTCAAAAAAATTAATTTTTAAAACATCACAAAAAGCCTAGAGGTACTGATACAAAGACAACACAGCAACAAACCATACATATGCCATTCTGACTGCAGTGATATACGTGCCCTCATCCTTCCACAGCTGGCTTGGCCACTGAAAAGGGCGCTGTGGCTCCCTGAAGCCCGGGCTGTTGTAGCCACTTCCTGTGCAATTCACTGCCTCTTGGTTGCAAATATTTCATGGAGTCACACAGTAGTTGAGGTTGGAAGGGACCCAAATATCCCAACCCCCTGGGGGGTCTCCAAAGGCCCCACTTGGAGCTGGAGAGCCTTCAGGCTTCCATTGAACTCCACCATGGGGTGTCTCCTTCTGAAGAGTAAAAGTAGAGACAAACATACCCCGGGCGAGACCTCCCACTGATATTTAACTGATGGTCACACAGAATGGACAAAAGGCTACGGAGGTCCCTGCGGTCATCCATCAGATTAGCAAGCGTCCCTGAAATTTGCCTCTTGTAGGAACCCTCTCCACACGCTTGGTCTTTCCACCCCACTGCCACCACTGCCATGAGTCACTGATGAATCACTTGGACTGTGAACAACCCTTCTCCCCAGGGTACCTCACGTGCTTTCATTTGGATTTCTATCTTGTGAAACATTAGCGTATTAGGAGAACCAGACCACATTATGGTCTACATTTTTCTGTGTACTTTTAGGAAACACAGCAGTTGATAGCACTGTTAAAACACAGTAATAATGCTACAAGCACCTCTCTCTGCAGGTTGGAATTTCTTTCCCTCATGTTCTCAACTGGTTGTCAAACTAAGCATGTACTCTGAATGGCTAAATTAGCACCGTGCTATGCTTTGTTTTACCTTTTCTGTAATTTAAAGGACATGAAAGCCTATTAAAAAATTGAAGTAAAAAGCCAAGCAGCATTATAATGACTATTGAACTAAGGGTTAGATAACATGCATCAAACTTGCACGTGTCCTGGCTGGACATACCTTACCTTTCTGTCCCTCTCCTCACTGACAGCTTGTCTCTTTTACAAGGAGGCAGCTAGCTTCAGAGTAGTTTCTGAAAGCCAAGCAGCTCGCCAGCCAATATTCTTTCTGCATAAAACCTGTAAATACATTTCACAGCACAAGCATGGATCCCTACTTAGTTTCCTTTGGGGTATAAACCGTTAAAGGAAGCAGTTTAACAGCAGCAAATATACCAGCTGCATATGTCTTGAGGCACAGATGGCAGACAAACAAACAGACATATTGGTATCACTGTACAACACGATTTGCTTACCAGATTGAGGACTGTCAAATATTTCCACTGCCCACCATAAAGGAACACTTCAGATGGCCGCTCTCCTGTTCTTACGTGAGTGATTGAATAGGTGACAAAAAAATACCAGACAAAAGCAAGGCAATGGTATGTTGCGAGAGTAGAGATTTCCATGCTTTAGCTAAGAGCAAGTGATAATCGGTCCAAAAGCAGCTTTTCTCTTAAGGTCCTCGGTCGCTGTGCATGGGAAATGGCAGGGCAGGAGGGTTTACTTCGGAGCAGGCTCGTGGGACACGTTGCCACTTTGCTCTCGTCGACAGGAATATTCACAAGGCTGTGAACTTTGCTTCTACTTGTTTCTCTTTTCACTGTACAGATATGCTGGGAGGGGTGAGAAGAATAGGCTTATTCCCTGGATTTAAATGCCTTGCTCAAGATTAGTGAAGATTAGTTGTGGGGTTGCATAAGTTTTTTGGGGTTGTTTTTTTTTTTTTTAAAGTGGGGGGAGCTTTGCTGCTGATTTTGTGTAACAGGCTGTCTTGCTTTGGATAGCATGAAAACAAGCAGCATTTTCCTTGCTCGTAGCTATGGGCGCGGCCACGTCTCCAGCTCAGCTTGGGAAGCTCTGCGACTCTTTTTTTCCTTGTGCCAAAGGAAGAAGTAGGAAACGTAACGCTCTGTGAAAGAGAAACTGAGTTGATTTGTTGGTAGGCTATGGAGGTGGCAAGGAAGCTGAGAGGATTCGTAGGCAAAGGTCCTTGGTGTTGAAAATCACTGCGAACGTTGACATTTTTTTGTGGGAAAAGGCTCTGCCTCTCTTTACGCCGCTCCACGCAGTTGGGATCCGTCACAACCGTGCACGGCAGGTCGGCCAAACCCTGAGTCGCTTTGAAGCTTTGGCAGGGGTGGAGACAAGGGGCAAAGGCCTTGGGTGACAAACCCTAGGCACTGAGCAGGGCGTCTCGCCTACCTGCTTCTTTACTTGCTGCCATTCACCTTCAGACAGCCCCTCTTCCCTGGCTCAACATTATCGCGCCATCGGGGCTGGGGTACAGAAGAGAAGAACGGATACTCATGCAATGATCCTAAAACGAAGCAATCAGAAAAGTTCCCATGGAAATGCCCATTTTTCCCTCCCCTCCTGCCTCGCCAAGCAGCCCTAATTAGCACTGGAAAATACACATGGCATTTCCTATTTGGGCCAGAGTCTCCGTAATTGCAGTGCTGTCAACAGTAATTGCCACCTGAGTGTTTCACAGGGGCCTTTGCGGGGAGCGGGTACCGTGCCCCAGCCCACGCCCGGACCTTCCCCACGCAGGACCGGGAGAGGCGATGCTCCTCTCGCTGCTGCGGAAGCTGTCCCCTTGGGCAGGGCTGGGCTTCAGTCAAGCAGACTACATTAAGGGATCTCTTTTTTTTTTCCCTTCTAACTGGCATACAGGCAGCATTGAGCAATCTGCTGTGTTTTGGTTTGTTTTGGTTTTTCTCTTGCATTTTTTTTCCCCACTGATACCAGATGTAAGGCTCCAGTGGGATGATTTCCTATGAACTCAGACAGCAATGTGCATGCATGTTGAGAAACAGCCCTTGCACTAAGGCACTTCAATATCCTCCTGTGTTTCATTGACTTCTCCCCTCATTCAGATTACCCGCATCCAGATTCCCCAGGCATTCCAGCCATCACAATTACAATGAAATACTTCTGCCTCACTTAGGAAAAATAAAGATGTAGATCCTTTTGTGGTTGGTTGAGGTTGGAGGAGAAAATCCCTTGCCAGGAAAAAAAAAAAAATAGATGGGATTTTCTTGGACTCTGACAACGTCACTGTCACTGGTCTTCTCCTAGGAAATCTAGCAGAAAAAGGTTTTCAATTGTCTTTACAGACTTTCTGGGGAGGGGCAGTGCTGTCATGAGCTGCTTCCTCTGCTCCTCCTTGTTAAAACTCGTCCCTGTGACAAAAGGCAGGAACAGAATAGGACTACGGCATGGAAGGGCCCTTCTTATTAGTGATTTGCATATCAAAGGCACCAGGCAGTCAGCACTTAACAAGTTATCTTCACACCAGTCTTTCTGAGGTTTTGCTATAGTGCAACTTTAAAAATGGGAAGGCATGTGCTTCTGCTCAGTAGGTGCCCGAATGCATGCAAATGAATGTAAATGTATGCAAAATGGCAAGGTATGTTTTTTCTTTTCTGGAGGATCTTGGCCAGAATGGCTGGGAAGATGTCAAGTACAGTGACAGTTTTCTGGTGTGGACACCTGTCCCACAGACTGAGACCATCTGCTTTGTTTTCCCATATACAAGAAGCAAGATACATATCCTTCAGCCTAGATAAGGCATGAAGTTCGGATGTAGAAACATTGCAAAGAAAGGATGAGTGCCAGATAGGATCTGAAGTCTAACACTCCACACTTCATGGAGTCTTTCTTATTTCACTGCCAGTGCAATACAGTGAGAAAATACACCGGAGAAGTGGTATTTTATGCCTTCTCTCCATAGGTATGAACATCTACTGTGAAGGTTCAATGGAACAGGAAATTCAGCCCAAAAACTTTTTGCAGGAAGTGGAGGGGAGGAAGAAAGAAGGAGCACACAGGGGCACAGGCAGACGTGCTGCTGCAGATCCTGTGGGATGACTTAGGGAAATACCATTTTCCATCTGCTTGGTACCACACCCCAGCTCACATCTGCTGCTCCCCTGCAGCTGAGCCACATTCACGCACTCTGCCAATGCTCCCCGTCTGCTTCAGGGGCCCACCTGATTCCAGCAGCAACAGCTGATGTTGTGCTGGAGGAAACTGGGAGTGCCCGCTTAGTCCATTAGCTGAAGAACAGTAACAAGTAACTGGAGCTGTAAATCACCTTGTATATGCAGAACGTCCCCTGCTCAGGGGAGTGAGGTCAGCTTGCCTGACTTTGCACTGAAATGGGCTTGACTCACTCATCTTGTTAGCACGGTTCAGGTACCGAGATGACAGCAAACAGTGTAAACTGGTAATATCTTAGACCAACATGTCTGTTGGTAATGTCACTGTGTGTCTCCACTGATGGGCATCGTTATTTCCCAGCTATCAAGGAGCCCCCCGTAAGTCCATCATTACCACACAGTGCTTGGCTACCACCTCAGCCTGTCTCTAATGAAGCAGCTGGTAGAAACAAATATTACTGCTCCCTCATGGACTGACAATTTGTTTAAAGACCAGTTAGGCACCTTTCAAATATTCTTCAATATTTTTGCACTGGCAAGGTTTGCTGTCTTTCAGGGCAGCATCCGCGATGGCAGAACAAGGGAGAGCAGGGCAGGAAATTACTGGCAGGTGACAGCAGTTAAGGCCAGGTGGGAGGAAAGAATTCAAATCCAAGCAAAGCCCTAGGAAAGGTTTGGGGGCCTAAAAAGCAGAACTGGGTCTTCACATCTAGCTCTTTTCTCTAGGCACAACCTAAGAACAAGGGACTGATATGCAACCAGGACTTGCCTCAGTCAGAGGGATTTTATAGGGTGAAGAAAACATGAGGAGCTGGGTAAGTGTGTTTTTCTTCTAGTTTTCTGACAGTTGTTTCTATCCTCAATGCAGTTCTTCTATCTCATGTGTGGATTTCAAAATTTGTTTGTTTTTAATTTATGCTATGGTAAGCTGGCTTGCATTAAGAATGCCATTCCTTGAAAGTGGGACCCTGGGCCATTCTTGTACATCCTCTGTGCATTATGTGAGGGTGTCCAGAGTTAATACGTTCTATCTCTGCTGCATTCTGGTTTAGTTGCAGGTAATGCAGGTCTCTGTGTGGAAGAAGCATTTTCTGATAAGCATTAGCCAAGAATGCTTTTTAGCATGTAGCATGAGGCTGCCTGAGCTCTATGTCCCCAGGGATATCTTTAATAACAATTCATTTTGTGGCGGTCCTGATGTATGAAATGAAACATAATTGACAAAATTGCAAGCCTGGCATTGTCTGCACCAGGCATCCTCAAATCCTGAGGCAAACTCCCCAAAATCATGTGGTTAGTGTAATTCACGAGATTTAATTCTCTCTGGTTTTATTCGTCTTGGGCTTTAGTAGCTTCTAGGGGTCTGAGTTTTCCAAGTCTTCCTCACAGCTGTGCAAGCGACAAGTGTAAAAATGTTTTAACTGCTAATAAAAGCTGAGGGCATTGCCTGGCAACGCCGCAGTGATAGCGACAACTAATGAAAATCAATAAAAATATCCCGATATATTTCACTACAAATCTGAAAATGGGCAATGCTGCAACATCTACCTGCTGTGTATGGCAAGCAGGAAAGTTATACAGTTGAAAGACAGCTTATGCATCCTCCTGCATGTACCTCTCTTCTTTATCTTGTGTGCGAATTTTTTTTTTCCCCCAAATACATATTTTTAAGGAGAAGACAGGAGGTGGTTTATCTCATCTTGATATGCTTGTTCTGAATTGTTTTTAAAAAGTTGTTCCAAACTGCCAAAATCCAGAGGGATTTTTTCAGTCCCAAAGTGGTTGGAAATACTCGTTCAGATTTCAGAGTTTCTCCCTCCCGTTGAGTTCCATTGGCTTTTAAAGTATATGTTTATTCAGACTGCTAAATGAAATGTCATTTTGATCCAGAAACAAAACTTCCCGTGTAACAATGATTTGACATTTCTGACTTTTAAATGAATGAAAATGATGACATTAATCAAAACAAAACCTTTTCAGCTAACAACTTGGGTTCTAAAAGTAGGTATGTTGAAAATAAGAAACATTTGATTGGGAAAATGCTTGTCTATGTCATTATCTCCAACTTGTAGTGGAAATTAGTAATTGTTTGCCTTATCACCAAACCCCAATAGTGTCTCCTCTCTTGGCAAGGTGAATACTGCTTAGAAATAAAAGGCATGGTTTTCATTGATTCTCAACAGCTTCCAAGCACTTACATACTTTTTGAAGAGATATGTAACGTTGCTTGTCAATGTTCCCTTTTCTGTCAGAAATGCACGATTAATCTTTGACCTTTTAGAAAGATTGTGCACAAACAAACAAGTTCAGAACGAAACAAACACACCACAGCGTACTAGGGAAGAAATGGCAGGGTATTTTTTTAGATCTTGGATACATGAGGTATGACTGGTTCTCAGTAGACTCCTTCCTGCTAGATAATTGTGGTGGGCAAACTAAGAAATGTGTTTATGTTAATTTTTTTC